TCCTTCCTTCCTTCCTTCCTTCCTTCCTTCCTTCCTTCCTTCCTTCCTTCCTTCCTTCCTTTCTTTAATGGAGGCCACATTGTATAGGCATGATTGATTAAATCATTGGTCACTGGTGATTGAACTCAATCTCCAGCCCTTCTCTCCTATCTGGAGATGGTAGGGAGGGGGATATTGGACTTTAAAGTTCCAACCCTCTAATCACATGGTTGCTTCTCTTGGCAACCAGCCTCCACTGTTAGGGGCTTTCCAAACGTCAACTTTATTAACGTAAACTCAAGTGTGGGTGTGTGGGGGAAAAAGAAACTTTCCTCTACTCTCCTAGCTTCTTCTGGCAGGTCTAATAATCAAATAGACATGAGACAGATTAATAAGAGGAAAAAATAACCAAATTTAATTATATATGTACATATGGGAACCTCATATACATGAGAGAGTCAGAGACTGACTCCACATACATGAGAAGTTCAGAGACAGAAAGAAAAAATGAGGTAGATATGTATAAAATTTTGAGTTAAGGATGAGACAAAGTATCTTGGGGCTTCAGAGATGAGGAAGGTTGTTCATTTTCAGGAGAATAAGAAGAGCAGATGCGCAATAATTAGAACTTTGCCCTGCTCTGTAGATAGGTCATAAAAAGTTATTCTGGTTATGACTCTTATTATGGGCAAGGACCTTAATTTAAATTCTTTAAGGGAGAGGTAAAAGTTTCTTGTGAACCCTCAGGGTCTTGCTTGCCTTCAGCTCAAAATAATTCACAAGCCTAAGTGGTACATCTTGAGGAGACCTGTCCTGAACTCCTTCAGTTGAAAGGGGCTTATTATGAATACAAAAGATACTCCTTTCACTTTTGTTGCTCTGGAGTTATTTCAGGAACTGAAGAAAAACCCCCAAATATTATAACAAAAGATTGCTCTTAGGAAATTACATGGGATTTAGGAATTCTGTGCCAGGCACCAGGGATGAAGACCAAATATGTAAATTTCTTATAATATCACTATATCATGTAAGTGAAAAGGATTTTGGCCACACTGTGGCCAAAAAAAAAAAAAAAAAAAGTTTAAAAGGTGGAGCTGTTACATGCAATAGTAGAGACAAGTCAAAGGAGGGATCTGAAGGAGAAAGTGAAAATACAAGGTGAAAAAACTGGAAAAGAGACAAGAGGCTCTTCTTTCCCATGCAGAGATTTTGTTTAGAAGAGTCACTTTCTCTGGAGGATTTGAGTTTCTTTTTATAAAGAATGTAATTTTTTACTGTAGAGAGTAAAATCATGGCCTTTGCTTATATGGGGACTCTCTCACTCCTTCATTTTCCCATTGTTTTATAATAGTAGGTGTTGAAGGGTAACAAAATGTGCCACCCCAAAATATACTACTTTAGCATAAGAATTATTTTGAGTTGAAGGCAATTGAGAAGAAGCAGGATACCAGAAAAAGTCTCTGCTCTCCTCCATTTGCCTAAAAGCAGGACATAAATTTGCAAAGGTGTTCCCCCTTCTCTTTACCAGTAAGAACGGGAGAGTTCTAGACCCTTATCAGCCCATGGAAGGGAAGGCACCAGAGGACTCCACCTAACAAACTTTACTAATACTTACTTTTCATTAGTTCCCTCATACATTTACCCACAATTTGCTGTTCTAGAAATTTAAAGTTTTTTTTCTTTGCCTTGCCTCTTCTCTAAAAACTCATTGCTTTTTTTTAAGGCATTATATGAGCTCAAGTTCTAACCACCCTTTTGAATTATTCATAACTGAGTGATCTCATGCATATGTGCAATGTACATGTTAATAAACTTCTTTTTGTTTTTCTCTTGTTAAATTGTTTTTCTGTCAGTTTAGTTTACAGGGCCAATGAACCTAAGATGAGTAGAGAGAAAACTGTTTTTCCTCTTGTTAAAAAGTAAACTGAGGCATGTTAAAATTTTAAAAAGTTTATTCAGTGAAAATTGTTCCAATAGGGAAGCATCCAATTTAGTGACAAAAAGGAGCTTTGAGGAGCTGTACAAAATGAAAGACTTTTATAGCCAGAAGGGACAGGGAACAAGGGATTTATATCAGGGGGAAGAAAAGTGGGTTTATTACAAACTTACTTTCCTTTGGCAATGACAGGGGTCCTCGGGCAGATTACTTAATTAGTGCCAATCAGGTGATTATTGATTTGTTTAAAATTCCATTTATGAGAAAACTGAAACTGTAATTAAAGTTAAATCTTGGTTTGGTGATGTGGGATTTAGCATAAGCTACTACATTTTGGGTCTGTTGTCTTGTTTATAACACTCTCCAAGAGCGTTTTACTAATAAAACTCCTAAAGTCCACTCTGACTTCAGCTTCAACTTATAAATATGACTTGACTTTTGAGAGCCAACTGAGTTGCATTTGCTCCAGTGCTATCTTTTTTTATTTTTATTTTTAATAAATGCATCTGTAGTTTATCATGGTCTTAGTATTTTTTTCATTCTCACCTGAGGACGTTCTTTCACTGCTTTTTAGAGAGACAGGAAGGAGGGAGGATTGAGAGAGAGAGAGATAAGTGGGGGGGGGGAAGAAAGAGGGGAGGGGGGAGGGGGGGAGAGAGAGAGAGAGAGAGAGATTGATTGGTTGCCTTCTCATATGCACCCGGATCAGGGATTGAACCCACAACCTGGGTATGTACCCTGACTGGGAATCGAACCCATGACCTTTTGGTCTAGGGAGGACACTTCAACCAATTGAACCACACTGGCTAGGGCTCCAGTGCCATCTCTTGTATGGCCAAAATATTGGGGCTGCATGGTTTGGCCAACTTTTAATTATTCAGAGAACTAGGAGAAGCAGAGTTACCAGGATTAATGATAATAATAGCAAATCCTTACTGAACATTCATTATGTTTTAAGTACTATGCTAAAAGGTTAATGCTTAACATCTCACTTAGTCATTACAGCATTCCAATGACCTAGGTATTGTTATTTCCAGTTTATAGAAAAGGAAAATGAGGGTGTCAGACTAACTTAGATCAGATCAGTACTAAACAGCAGGATCAAGGTTCCAACCCAGGATTGTCTGATGGTAGAGGATATAATCTTATCCACTACTCTGGACATGAATTTTTACATATACTACGATTCTGATTTAAACTATTGAAATTGTTTAAACTACTGAAACATGAGTATTAACACTTTCCTATTGATCTATCAAAAATGTTTCAATGATTATAGAATCATGTACTGAACACATAATAAAACATGTTCTTGTTATTTTAAGTAGTCCAGAGAAGTTTTAGTTCATTCTATTGCAGTTTGACTTTGCAGGTCTCAGAAAAGGATGTATTCTCTAGGTGAATTTGATGTTTTTCATCTCTCCTACTGTTCCCTTTTGGGATTTCCTGTGGAGATGCTAATGATGATAGTTGATGTGGATCAAAGGCAGACAAAACAAAAGGGAGAAACTGCTGGAAGGAGCCTGGCTGATAGAGTAGAACCCCTAGGAATCTGCTCCTGAATGATTAAAAAGCATCAGCCTAGACTTTAAAGTTTGAGGTTGAATGCTGGTGAGGAAGATATCCTCCTATTTGCTGATGTAGCAGGGAGAAAGGTTCAGCTTATCAGAGAAACTTCTGTTGCTTGCCATATTATACTGAAAGAGAAAGCTACTTGGTTGTTCACTCGCACTGCCCTTATTTTTCTTCTTTCTAGAACTTAAGCAAGGCTTTGCCCACAACTGACAATCAGTAAATTAGTTGATACTGAGATTTTCCAGTCTAAATACAAATAGAACATGAAAATGAAGGAACGTTGTCATTCATTTGTTTTAGGCTTTTTTTTCTGAGAACCTAAGATAGCTCAAAGTTATCAAAAAGCGGCAAAAGTACCTGGCTGACTATGTGTGACTTGCAGCTGAAAGGTGAGATGAACTAGGTCTGGAAGATCAAATTCATGCGAAACCAAACGGGCAGTGAGAGCCGAAAATTAAGGCAGACCTTAATTTGTAAAAAAGTTAAAATGCTAAATATAGTTAATCCTACTTGTTAAAATATAAAACCTCAAAACTTCAGTTTCCTCTACAATATGAGTTGGAGTGGATAGGCAATGCTCTTGCGAGCCTCTCAGCACTGACATCCCGGGATGTTACGTACACGGCTTTCAAGCGGCCAGCTTGGGAGTAGAAGGCTGCTAAACTGCGTTTGCTCCAGGCACCTTAACCAACTGTCTTCCTTCCCCCCGCCCCCCACACCTGGCCTAATTCTCCTCACTTTCCCCTTCAATCTCTACCCTATTACCCGCTTTTTTACGACTGTAATGATTTCCCCGGGGAGTACCTACAATTTAGACAACGTGGGGCCTGAGAACGTGCCCAATAAATGTTTGCTGAATGAATGAATACCTGTAGGCTTAGGTTCTAGCGCGTGCTTACTCGTAAGCACCCCCAGGGCCGCATCCCATGCCCAGCGCAGGGCCCTGTAAAGGTCAAGCTCCATTCCTCCCTACGCGCCGCACCTTCCTACCCCAATAGCCACTTCCAAACTAGGGCCTGAGCAGTGATTCACCACAGTGGTTTTCACTGCGGGTGAACTAACTTAACTTGCTCTAACGATCTGGAACAGATATATGCAGTGAATATAGCCTTAACAGAGTTAGGGCCGAGCTGGTACTGAACCGGGGGAGCGCCAGGCATTGATTCAAAACAGAACCAGTTTATCTTTGAGGACGAGAGTGGACCAGAGAAAGCCGGAACCCTTAGGTAGCTACGCAGTCCGCGGAAAAAACTCTCCCCTTCTTCCTTCCACAGTATCTTGTTGCCAGGGCAACTTTGAGCGTCACTAACGCGACTCCAGTAATTGGACAGAAAAAGAACACGTCTCCAGCCAGCGGGATATCCAATGCACAGGCGCATTAGCGTTTCCTGGCTGTAGTTCTTTTGTAGATGTATTGTGCGTCTGCGCATTAGTCGTTTCGTGCTTTGCTCCGCCTCTATGGCTGCGCAAATGGGCCAATCAGGGAGGGCGGAGCTGGGGTACAGCAGTGCGCACGCGTAAACTCTACTTCCGTTGTGGTGGTCGCGTCCTGTAGGAGTTAGGGTCGGCCTGTCTATCTTGTAGTCATGTCGGCCTCAGTAGTGTCGGTCGTCTCGCGGTTCTTAGAAGAGTACTTGAGCACCACTCCTCAGCGTCTGAAGTTGCTGGACGCCTACCTCCTGTATATACTGCTGACCGGGGCGCTGCAGTTCGGTTATTGTCTCCTCGTGGGGACCTTCCCCTTCAACTCTTTCCTCTCGGGCTTCATCTCTTGTGTGGGGAGCTTCATCCTAGCGGGTAATATTTCTATAAGTAATCGCAGTAATAATGTGTAACTTTGGTGCTCTGCTTTTATTCCCACAATACTCTTTATATCAGATTACTGCCTTGTGAAGTTAGGAGAGGAGCCTCCATCGACCTCTTTATGAAGGGAGAAATTGAGGCTCAGAAAAGTTGTCACATACCAAATACCAAACAACTTCATAGTAGCTGGAATTAATTCTGTAAAGAAACGACCTTAATGCTGCTGCTCAACCTGGTGACCCGCTTCACTTCATATCGGTCCAGGGAAAATTCCATTCCAAATTTCACTTAACTTTAACACCCTTTTGAAGTTGGTAGACTTTTAAGATGGAAAACCCTACTCTGAAGCCTCTCTTTCACCTTTGCCTAATTATTTCTAACCTCTGGTGAAACGTTTCAATGAACAGTGTAAGAAATATAAATATGGGAGCCTGGCTTGTTGAATCATTCTTTGCTTGACTGGGTTTTAGCTGCCACTTATTTCTTGTGGATGAAGATGTAATTTCATTATCCTGAACTCAGTTTTTATTTATGTAGTTCTATTTTAGCTTTATTACTCTTCCTGACTTCCAGCGTGTGACGCATTGTAGACTGTCATATTTAATGAAAGCCGACTGTACCCATACAATTTTGCCAAAAAACCTGACCTTTCTTGCTCAGTGATTCAGTGAATATTGAGTCCAGAGTTGAGTCCAGGAGTGTTAGCTAGTCCATTTTATAGGTGGCTACCACATGGATCTTGCCAGTCACTGGTATTGCCTGCTCTACAACTTTAAAAACATGCCAAGATTCACTTTTTCCCCCCACTGTAATTGTTGTTGGTTAGGCCATCAATTGTATTTTTGAATCTAATCACATTGGTATTATGCTCAAAGCTTTGGGGATGTGTCAAGTACATGTTTCCTGTCCAACACTAGTTTACGGTTTGGTTAGGACACAGACAAAATATAGCTATAAAATGGTCTGGAGGCTTCATTTACAATGGAAACTTTATTACAGCTTTAAATTATAGATCTGTAGAATGCTTCATACACATTCAAATTACTAGTTCCTACTCAGATATACTCTACCTCTCTTTCTCAGAACTTAAACCTAAGGACTTAATGATTTGTGAACTAGCGTGGTGTAATTGCACAGTTAGCCTGTTAATTTGATGGATATTTCATCGTCTTTGAATTTTGCTTTAGATGACCGGGACCCTGTTGTCTGTGGCAGCATTTTGGCCTTCAGGAGTTGATATGGTGCCATCATCAGATGCACCAGATACCATACCCTCTTTGTTGAAGACTCAACCTCCTCTTCCCCCAATACTGTTCAGACAGGAAGCTTTTATTAGCCAGTCAGGAAAAGGAATATTGAGAAACAGGGCCAGAATCTGATTTAAAAAAAAGAAGACATCTCTATACTGAAATCGCCCTGACTTTATAAGCTTCTAGGGTTAAAATGACTCCTGAGGGCTATATGGAAAACTGGTTCGCTGAAGAGTGGGTGTGTACTAGAGCTATAGATTATTAGTGTGCTAAAACCAGAAGATTTTTGAGCAGAAAACTTTTCCTTATGCTAAGTCCTGTTTTTGAGTCTGTTGTGGCTAAAGGAAAATTGGCAGATTCCCTTCCCTCCTCTCCAGTGAGAGGTTGTTGTGAAAGGGAACTTGAGTAGTGAAGTCAATTTGGGGGGATTGGGACTTCCTAAGCTGCTAGATAACAGGTAATTGGGCCAGGGAATGAAAGTACCTTGAGAAGAAATGATTTATGCCAATTCATAGTTACCACAGAAGGGTATCATTTATATTTCTTATGACGGTATTGACCTTACTTCCTCTGTCATTTGTTAGCTTCGAAGACTAGTTTTAAGGGGGAATTTGTATTTGAAGTTTATCCTTTGTTCTGATTGTTGGGAAGGGAAGCCTTGTACATATTTATGGTGCTGGTGATTCTAACTTCCTTGTGGTATGTTTCCTGTTGGGAGGGAAGGGAGGAGGCCAGTTTGGCTGAGAAAGGGAATTGTAGGAGATGTTGATTGGTAGTACTGCGTGCTAGAGCTTTGAGTGTCAGGCCAAGGAATTTGAATTTTGTCCTGTGGGTAACAGGAAAACATCTAAAGTTTGTTTGTTTGTTTTTAATTTGAGTAAGGGAGAGACTTAAAATTGGTGTTAGCATGTAGGATCAATTGGTGAGAAAAGTTCTTTAGTCTGGTGGCCTCATTTCTTTTTGGCAGTCTGTTCTCTTCCATCCATTCCTTCTGGATGTGTTCATTTAGCATATGCGAGTATTCTTTGAAAATTGATCAATACATTTTAAACCAATATAGAATGCTACCACACTAAAAAGACTGGTGTTATTTGGTCCTGATGAAAATGGTCTGTTTTCCTCTATTCCTTTATGCCTTGGACACTTACCCATTGTTTCAAGGAAGAGCCAGAAATTATCAAGAAAATTGCCATTTGGAAAATTTTTTTTGATCAGTGTATAGTGTAGTAGTCATTGAAAGGACGTCAGAGGTAGAATATATTTTTCTTCACTACAGATTTCAAACATCCTCAGCAGTTGACTGTTTATCTTGTGGTTAGATACCTCTAGAGGAGGATGTCTGTCCCTTTTTCAGACCAACATTCCAGTGTTGGCAGCTCTTCTACTTTCCTTTTTTACCTAACTGAAATCCCTCTTTGTGCTCATGTAAAGTGCTGTGTAGGAGGAATAAATGGAAAACATTGAGTGTCTTTAAAATAAGTCTTTGATCTTGAAGTAATCTTTAAAGTTATTTCACAACTTCAGTGTATTCTGTTCTCTAATCTATATGAAACAGTTTTGGATTAAAAAAAGGTTTTGTTTCCCCTAGTTTACAAATACAAAAGCAGTTTGATTTGAAAGGCAAGGAGGCCTAATCCAGAACGTTTTCTGGGAGTGACTGGGCTGTGTGCACTGGAGGCCAGCATTTTGGGGGGAATTATCCCATCAGTTTTATGGGCCCTTATAGTATCTCTCATAATTGCTATACAAGAGATTGGAAGTTTGCCAATCTTGTGCCTGAGAGTCCTCTAAATCTATTTCATATCTGTTGCTACCTCTTTATGCTCAGTTGACACTGACACTTATTAGGCTACTGTAAGCTTTCACACTGCTCTCCCAGCCTCCAGTCCACCTCCCACTGTTTGCAGGCTTGCTTTGACTTGCAAATCTGATTGTGTGGTTCCCAAAGAAAAATTACAATTTTTTTCCCACGGTATATAGGCTCTGTCATGATCTCTTTATCTCTTGCCTTTGCCCTCTGTACTTTTATCCTCCAGCATTACTGAGTTAACTTGTTATTCCCTGAACATCTCAAGCAATTTTACTTCTGCTTGACTGCCTGGAAAATTCCTTCACTCCTTAGACATCTCAGCTCAAGTGCTACTTCCCTTTGGAATCCTCTGATTCTCCTAGCATTGATGCCTTTTCTTCTATGTTCCTATTTCTGTGTGTGTGTGTGTGTGTGTGTGTTCTGAGAAAAAGAGAGAGAGAGAGAGAGAGAGAGAGAGAAGTAGGCAGATAGGTGGCACTTTGCTACTGTTCTGTGTTTGCATGTCTGTCTGTCCTCTGAAAGGTGAGCCCCTTGAGGGTAGGGGCTGTCTTTTCATCTCTGCATCCTCAGTGCTTAACACTATATATGTTAAATTGTGAGCATGCCCGTAATAATTTAAGAAACACTGAGCAATTATGTGTTGGGTTCTTTGCCGAGAAACTGAGGATTCAACTGAGAGACACAACTGTTCTCTGTTCTCATGATGTTTACAATCTAGTGGGAGATACAGACAAGTAAATATGGATATAGTGCTGTGATGGGAAGTATTGGTGAGCCCAGGGATACAAATGGGCACTCAGCCCTGCCTGGTGGTCCTATAATACTTCCCCAATATGTTTGCTTTTCTAAAATATGCTTTATAACTTTTCTTTCTGCTCTCTTCTGTATTTCCTCTTTTCCTTTATCCACAGTTGATGATCTTTATTTTTTTTGCTAAAAAAGTAGACAGGAATCCTCTCATCTTCCCACCAAGGCATCAGGAGCCCACCTGCCCTCGTATCCTGACTCTGACTGACTTTCGTGGTGGTGGATGATACGTCCCTTTCCCATCAGAGGCCGGCTTCTTCACTTGTACAGAGGGTCCAGTGTCCTTGCTCACTCAGGGACTCAGCTTCTACAATCATCCTTCCATTCTACTTCATTAATCTCTCTCTCTCCTCTGTACTTTCATCATGCAAACATGCTCGAATACTGTTTAATTAAAAAGAATTCATTTGACCCTAGGTATCGCTCCTGCTATCATTGCATTTTTTTTCTTCTCTGTCATCACAGAATTCCTAGAAAGAATAGTCTAGTTGCTGTTTCTCATTTTCCATTCATTCCTTAACCACCTGTTGGTGGTGGCCTTTCTCCACCAACTGAAACTACTCCTGCCAAATCTAATGGCCATGTACCTCACCTTCCTTCCATGCTTGGCAACATTTAACATTTAATATAGTCGGCTGTTCCTTCTGTGTGGAGTACTTCCTTCTTGAAGCTGTTACTGAACTACACTTATCTTGTTCCTTCTCACCACATTGGTTTTTCCTTCCTACTCTTTGTACTGGGTGCTTCTCTGTTGGAGGGCATGGTTCTTGACACCTTCTCTTCTCTGTATTTTGTTTTATAGATGAATTTAAATAATGTCTATATAACTACAACTACCACATTTATATTTTTATTTCTGAACCGTTCCCTGAAATTTTAAATTAGTAAATCCAGTTGTCCATTTGCTATCTTCACTTGATGTCTGATATGCTACTCCAGATTAAACCTTCCTGTCCAGCCACCTTCCTCTTGTCTTTGGTCACTCTAGTCTGGTTAGTCTTACCTGTTATACCAACAACATGTCAAGATTGTTCTTGCTACCTGGAATGCTCTGTCTCTAGAGCTTTACATGGTTGGCTCCTGTCTTTCCAATTTTGGTCTTAAATAGCACCTTCTTGGAGGGGTTCGTGACCACCAGATAAAAAAAATATTCAGCAGTTTCTGTTACTCTGTTATTACCTTGTTTTATTTTCTTCATATTACTACATGATATTTCCTTGTTTATTTGTTTATTTATTTATTATGTTTCTCTCCATCAGAGTATAAGTTCCTTGAGCCAGACTCTTAATCTGTTTGGTTCTTTGCCATATTCTTAGAACCTGGGACAATGCATGACACATAATAGATGCTCAGTTAATATTTTGCTGAATGAATAAACATTTAAGGAGCTAGATTAAATTAGAACTGCTAAAACGGAGAGGCTGCTTCAGGAAGCAGTGAATTTCCATCGCTGGAAGTGCTCAGGGAATGACTGAAGGATCATTGGTGGAGGAGCCTTTTGAACAAGTATGCTTTGCCTTTGGCCAGTGCGTGTGAAGGATATGACACCCCTATCAGTAGACTCCAGAAGGTTTGTGATTCTCCAACTTGGCATGGCTTACCAGGTTCTGGAATGGTGAGATGCTTTGGAAAGATTCCCGGGTGATTCATGCAGCCTCCCCCCGCAGCACGCCCACCCCTGCTACCTCTTGGGCATTTTATGCATTAAATGGAGTGTTGTCCCGTATGACCTCCAGGGTTCTTTGCATCTCAGCAGGACAAAAATTTATGTTGTCATTGTAATAACTTGGGTTACTGTGATCATGATAATGATAATAGATCAATTTATTATTTTATCCACCTCCATGGGGAGCTTCTCTTTCGTTTGTTCCCTCATACTTCCTGAAACACTACCCTGTTCTCCACCCCAATAGCCACTATTAATGGTTTTGTATCTGTTTCTCCAGATTTTCCTTGAGTCCAACTGAAATAAATGAGAAAATAATGCTCTCTCTACACACATACACACACATGTGCGTGCACGTGTGTGTACACATTTTTTAAAGGAGAAATACAGAATGGAATAAATTTTTGGCTTTTTTTTGGTATAATATGTCTTGGATATCTTTGCTGTCAACCTATGGAGATTGAAATCATTCTTTTGAATGATTGCATGGGATTTCAATGCATGTATGTAGTGTAATTTATTTAAATAACCCCATTGATGACGTTTGGACATTTTCATTTTTTTAAAACTTTACAAACATGCTGTTAGAATGTCATTGTTCTGTAAGATAAATTCCTTAGTCAAAAGGTAAAAACATTTTAAATATTAATAGATATTGTTAGTTGCTCCCCAAAATGCACGAACCAGTCTGTGCTCCCTCCGCAGCAGGATTTTAATCGGTTGTTCTTGCTTCAGTCAGTGTCCTTCACATTTTGAAGGGTCCAGGTGCTTCAAAAGATCGGTGGTGCTTCCATGGTGTTTACATGTTTAAGCATAATGAAAACTCTGTTGCCATGGTGATGGGCTGTGGAGAAGTAGTCTGGTAGTTTACTGATCTTTGGGTTAGATCTCAGTTTGTTCCCTTTTCTTGGTTATCGATGGGATGGATGCCAGCCTGAAGTAAATTTGGGTTTTCTTAAGCAGTATGATTGTTTATCACAGGCATAAAGATATTTCTGGAAAGTGTATTCCTGGAGCTCTTTTAATGTCAAATGGTGACCGTGGCCAATATATCAGGTTGGAACCTTTAAGGATGTAGAATGTGGCAATGGAGAGTTCTGTCAAAGTTGATGTAGCTTAGGTCTTTTGCCTTGTTTTTGAGATGAGCAGCTGCTAGAACTTTGAGATCAAAGATTTTCTACAACTGTGAGGTCCTCACAGATAAGCATCTTCCGTTTATAATCTCTGCTATCCAGTATTTACAGCCCATTGAAAGTTAAGAGTTTTATAAATTTTTGTCATTCAACTCAGTCTCTTTGTTATGCCTCAACTTCTTTCCAATCTAGGTATAATTATAAGCTTAATCGGGCAATAAGAGAGTTCTAATGATTTTTTGGTTTTATATATATATTTTTATATATATAAATATATTTTTATATATATAAATATATATATTTTTATATATATAATATATATTTTTATATATAATATATATATTTTTATATATAAATATATATATTTTTTTAATATATATATAAATATATATATATTTTTTCCTGAGTAAGCTTTTGGTTTCTAGCCTAACTCTGAGAGGTTACATTTTTTCCTTTAACAGAGAAGTGTGTAAAATGTAAGTGTACAACTTGATGTGTTTTTAAATTCGCCTGTCTAGTCGTCACCCAGATCACGATACAGAACAGTGCCAGCACCTTAGAGACCTCTGCCTTGCGCCTTACTAGTCACTCCCTCCTGTGAAAGAAAAACCACTCTCCTGGCTTGTGTTACCATAGATTGGTTTTGCCTCATTTTACCTTTTATCAGTGTAATTACACAGCATGTATTTTTTTGACTGGATTGTGTTGCTCAACATTTTATTTGTGGAATTCATCCATGTTGTGAAGTTCTTTTTTTTTGGGTTTGCTGGTTTTGCCTCTCTGCCCCCCCCCCCCCCCCCCGTTTTATGACATACATCACTATATAAGGTTAAGGCGTGCAACAGGACCATTTTACTTACATATATTATGAAAGGATTACCACAGTAGGTTCAGTGAACATTTGTCTTCTCACATAGGTACAATAAAAAGAAAATAAAGGAAAAAAATTTTCTTCTTGTGATTAGAACTCATAGGATTTACACGCTTAACAACTTACCTATATATCATGTAACAGTGTTAGATATAATCATCATGCTGTACATTAGATCCCTAGTAATTATTTTATAACTGGAACTTTGTACCTTTTTACCACCTTCCTTCATTCCCCCCCCCCCTTCATTGCTATATGGTGTTTATTTTACGCATATGCCATAATTTATCTCTGTTACTGTTGACAGACGTTTTAGACTGCTTCCAGTTGGGAGCTGTCGTGGGTATGGTTCCTATGCATGCCTTTTGATACATTTATGCACCATTTCTGTTAAAATGGAATTGTTGTGTCATAGAGGGTGTATGTGTTGATTAATAGTCATATTTGTTTTATACTTCTGGATAATATTTGTGTTTTGCTTCTTGTGCAGTTTGTCTGAGAATACAGATCAACCCACAGAACAAAGCAGATTTCCAAGGCATCTCCCCAGAGCGAGCCTTTGCTGATTTTCTCTTTGCCAGCACCATCCTGCACCTTGTTGTCATGAACTTCGTTGGCTGACTCGTTCCTGTTTGCTTAATTGCGGAGTGGGAGACTGTAAGAATGTAAGTTGGGATCATAGACTTTGTCCCATCATGTTGATTTTAGAAATGGAAATTGTGTGGGGCTGGTTTTGATCATGGTTGGCAGGGTTCCCATATTGCTGATAAGACGTTTGCAGAATTTTTCATCAGTCTGCAAAGTATGCATTAATATCATCATGATTCATCAGTGCTGCTGCTCTTGGTCATTGCCTTTTCTTCTCGCTGTTCTGCAAATCATTAAGATAACAGAAAATGGGAGTTTGCCTGTAGCTAATACATAAATTTCTGCACCAGTAACTCCATGAAAATAACTGAGATCTTGGAAGAGGCAAAAATTGTAGGTTTTGCTTTTAGATTTGCTTTGTAATTTTTTATGATTTTTGATTTTTGATGATTTTAAATGCTGGGCCATTGTCTCCGTAGTACCTAGCATAGTGCTTACACCTGACAGACATCCAGTATATGCTGAATGAATGACTGTGGCCATTTGCTAATATGTGTGCTAAAGGAGAAATAAAAGGGGAAATTGGATCAGCTTGGGAGAACATTTTAGAATATAGGATGAGATGCCACTTGTTTTATTTGCCATTTTTCCTTTTTTATCAGTAGAGCTCTTTTTTCTCTTCCTTTTTTTTTTTAAGAGAAAATTTTTTTAATTCTCACCCACAGATATATTTATTGATTTTTGGAGAGAGAGGAAGGCGGGGAGGGGTGGGGAGAGACATTGATGTGAGAGAAAAACATCTATTGATTGCCTCCTGTATATGCCCTGACTGGAGTTCGAACCTGAAACCTAGGTATGTGCCCTCATCAGGGATCGAACCCACAACATTTTGGGATATGGGATGATGCACCAACCAACTAAGCCACTTGGCCAGGCAGAACACTTATTTTCTAAACAGACTCTTATATAGATTTTCCACATATAAGACAGCATTGGAGCTGGAGTTGTTTTCATTGGCAAGTTGAAGAGCTTTCTTTGCTTGGACTCTCCTTTGTGTGTGTTCTGCCCTCCCCTCTATCCTGCCCTTCCAAGCAGAATCGGAAGCTCTAAGAAGTACATGAGTGTTTTCCATACTCTATATAGCAACACCTATATTACATTTAAGAAAGTAGAGGTCCAGAATAAACCAATGGCCTTCGCCGGCCACATAGGCAGTTGCAGAATAGTGCCTTAGGCCAGTGCTGCTCTTGTTCTACAGCTCTCCTAATACCCTACTTAGCTTACTGATGAATGAATGTACTCTTTTCTTTGCCTTTTCGCTACAAAATTTAGTGTTGTAGTGTTTACTGGGTGGTAGAGGAAAGAGAACCTTAGGAAATGTTATCATATTTGGGGGAAGAATATTCCAGGGTTGACCTCTTTCTATCACTACTTGGAAAGCTATCATTTCTGTGCTAATCAGAAATCCAACACAAAAAGTTAACCATGCATTGGTTTGGGCAAAAAGTCTCTATGGTTTTTTCTGTAAAATAAAAGACAAATTTTTAATTTTCACTAGTAACTTTATTGATTTGGATATTTTGAGTATGTTTTCTATCTCCCGTGTAGTATAATGTCAGTTGTTCTCAATTAATATCTTGATTTGATCTCTATCAACTTCAGCTGGTCTACCTGACCTTGGAGCATTGTCCAGCAAGAAAGTTCAGTATGAAACTTCGCAAACCACTTTTGAAATGTTTGATCAGTCACAGCACCTTCTCCATATACTACACAAATCTTTTTTGTGTTTCAGTTGTGTTTTTACCTTTCTTGAAATCATAAAGCATAATATGCCAAAAATGTTGCTTATTTTCTTCCATCTTCAGTATTAAAATGGCTACGCAAAAATTAAGCAATTTTGATAAGTTTCTTTTAAATGCATGCTGATATGACAGCTGTCTCAGTACAATCTAACAAATTGTTTTGAATGAAGTTAAAGACAATTAAGTGCTACTAGAGCTATTATGGAAAAAACCAAACAAACTTTTTGGCCAACCTACTACTAAATGAATGCAATAATGTGACAATGACTATACTTCAATTTCTGGCATGAATTAATCAGTTACTTATATTACGTAGATTCTTTTCATTGTTGATGTTACCTCGAAAACAGTTCTATTTCATTTTTAATAGTGGTAAGGTGACAGGTTGTTTACTGCAGTGAAAAAGTTTGGGAACCACTTTTTCTACAGTTTTTTTCCCCTTACTATTCTAATACAATTTATCTCTTTGGAGAACTGATCAGAACTTGAGTTGTCCCCCCCACTTCTGCCATTTCTATGTGCCAGTCAGTGCCTTATTACTGGAAATACGAAGAAGAGTAAAATATGGCTCCTGCCCTATTGTAGGGGAGAAGGACTGTACACACGGCAGTTAAATACAGCAGAGTTCAAGCCACACGAAAGATGTGAACAAAGTTCTGTGGGAGTTGAGAAGGGAGCCACTGTGCAGAGGCAGCAGACGGGGTGTCTGACCAGTAACTCTTGGGAGTACGGCTACAAAGCTTACCCACCAACACTGACCTTATGCCTACAGACATCATGAGTGGCTCTTGGGCTTACTGGTAGTAACTTTGCTGGAAAGGTTGTAAGTCTTCTGATTGCCTTATTCTAGATATCTCAAGTTATTTTTTTCTAGATGAGTCATGTATATCTTAAGAAAGGGATAAACATTCCAAGGATGTTTTCTGAGATCAGGGAGATAGCAAATCCTGGAGAATTGTTTCCTAGGGCTGCCATGATCGGAGGAGGACTCTCCTGCAGAGAGCTTAGTATTTCAAAATTGTGACAAAAATGGAGACCAAAAAAGGCAGGCTTAGGAGAAACTGTATACTGCAGACTTGTAACAACCTAGAGCCACTTGTGCAGTTGGGAATTATGGGTCTAAGGTACGGCAGAGTCTTCCAATCCCAGATTACAGTGTTCGGTCATTTTATAGAGAGTATGTTCTCCCTGGGGGGCTGCCCACAGAGAGCCTTTATTTTGACATTTACTGTCCTGTTCTTAATTCATAACATATATGTGTTTGCCCTTTTTATGTGCCTCTAACTCAGTTCTGTGAGCAGTATGACATAACACTTTCAAAGTAGTTTCCAAGTAAGTTCTCAGTATTTATACCAACTCAGAAGGTAAAACAAAACAGATTGAACATTCTCCATACTTGCCAAGTATGTTGAGAGTTGGATATAAAAAGAATAAACAATCTGTGGTATAACGCTTTTGCATTAATTTGGGGGCAACATTTAAAACCAGCAGATTTGAATATTTAAAAATTTACATACTCTGTAATTATTTTCTGTTTTGTTTTTCCATATATCTTTGTGCAGTTCTTAAAAAAAAGGAAAGGTATGGGAAACTATCTAGGTGTTCCAAAGGGAACTGAACAAAAGAGGGACATAGTTTGGGTTACAGTCTGGGAAGGAAATTTCCTGGACTTGGGCCCTGGATCAAAGGGTAAAGTTAAATGGGCATACAAGGTCATACCTGAGCTTGGAAGTGTGCTCAGCCTGGTGGAGACTGTTTGGCTAATGCTTGTGTTAAAATCCTGTTAGTGTTGCTTTGTTTTTACAATGGAGGCCATTCTTCCATAGGTCTTTAAAAATTCAGTGTTTAATGCTGGATGGAGCAAGGGTGCTACAAGGCTGGGCAAAACATAACTCTGACAAGCAGTACTATTTACAAATATGTAATTACCATTGGCCTATCAAATTCATCAAAGTGTAATAATCTAGAGAATTATTTTAGGAAGAGTCTAAATATTATTCTTTAGGTTATACTGCCACCTAGTGGAGTATACACTTCATGTGCTGCGAGATTGTACTTCAAAGCATAACAAGTTGACTTGAGGGGAGGAAGCCCCTAGTATCTTGGTGATAAAACCTATTTTTTTTCAGTCACAGGAGGGCAGCAGAGGTCCAAGTAGACTTAGATGCTGGGTGGGGATTTCTTTACCTTCTGGTCAGAAGTGGGCAGTGTTGAGTTAGGTTCAAAGGGCGTTGAGCCATTAAGTGGCCCAAGGCTCTTGTCACACAGGAAAGACAGTGTGCAGGGTTTATATCCTCCTCTTGTCAGTTCAAGAGCATCCTTTTGGTTTGTTCTAGACCTGTTTTTGCTCTCAACGTGACCTCCTACTGGTAATAATCTTTAAGTTTCTGTTGGGGGGGGGGCGTTAAAATATTTCATTTCTCTTTGATATTTCATCATACGTTGAATTGAGTTTAGCCACCACATAAGTTCTCAAAAAGGGAACTATTCTAAATTTGTAGAACACATTTTGAGCTAAACACACAGTATGATCTTTCTTCAACTCCCTTTTTCTTCAGAGGGCGAGATTAATTCTTTACCTGTTATTCTTAAAACCTTGAATCTGCTTACTCTATTTGCCAAAAAGCTCTAATTGATGATTCTAATCGGTGACTGAGCTGTTTTGTATTTGATCTGCTTAAAGCTACGAGGGGGGCGGGGAGAGAGGGGGGAAGGAATATATCGAGTATATTTGTGTTCATGAAGTTCATTGCTGCTCTGACACCCCACCTTATTTTCCCTACTTTTATAGCTCGATGATTCCTACTCCAAGTCAACTTCAGCCCCATGTTTCATAGGCGCCTCTCCTGGGGCTCCTGGGGGTCCACTGTACAGGTCTCTAATGCTACACTTATCACATTGTTGTAAAACTATTGATTCACTTCCTTGTCTCTCCCACTGAGGGTTGGGACCTAAGGATTTAGCACAGGCTAATGGTCACGATACATGTGTGTTGAATGAGTGTATGATGAATAAATCATTTTTAACTACAAGAAAATGTGATGTAAAATAGCTGTATCGTTGGATGCTAAGACGTGGAAAGTGCTGTGAAAGAAAGAAGCCAAGGAAAAAATAAACATGAGACTAGAAGTTGGAAGACCTGCATTGTGTAATAGACAAATAAGCTTGTTCCTCAGTCCCAGTTTCCCTTTCTGCACAGTGAGAGGACTGGCCTGGATGTTCATCAGAGTTTCTTGCCGCTGTTCAAGCCTCTGATTACTGGAATTCATGATAGTTCCCATTGTGTTTGAGGAGGATTGGGCTATTTGTGTAGATCGTCAGTTGGGCTTTGCTCTTTTTGTTCTTTTCTCAGTTGGTTTTTATCCATATCATCAGATTCCCATCATCTATTCACAGGAAAGTTGAAAGTGTGACTCTATAACAAAATGCATAGTGTTTATACAAGGCCACCTTTTACAACATTAAACAATATTTGTAAAATGTATTATGGTTATCACCAGGCTTGCAGGACTAGCATTCATTTTACATACCATGTGATCTTCATGGTCCACCCTCTGATGCAGGTAGTTAAATAGTTTTCCCGTTAACACATGATGTAATTAAATTGTGATTAAAGTTTAACTTGACTTTCTAGGCCCTGGATCTAATAAGTGACTGGGAACTTTAACAGATATTTTGACTCAAAAATTTTATTTTCCTTCTCCAATATGTTCAGAAGACTTTTGGATGATAAATATATGCATATTGTTAGAAGGTTTTTGTTAAAAAGGTTAAATTTCTTTTTTATAAACAGAAAAAACAGGAGAGGTTGATAAGAAAGGATTAAGTCAGGCTATGTAAAATGTGTCTGCAAAGTTGGTCTTCTCTAACATGGTCCAGGAGAAATGGAAGAGAACTGACTTTATCCGGAGAGGGTGACCCTGACTTTCTGCAGCGTGGAAATGTCCGAAGCCGGGACTTCTGGCCGCTGAACATTTGAAATAAAGCTAAGTGATGGAGGAATGGAATTTTGGATTTTATTTAATTTTAACTAAGTTTAAATAGTCACCTATGGCTAGTGGCCATGATGTTGAACAGGACAATTCTGGATAAATCTGTCAAACTCCTAGGTTACAGTTTCCCCATCTGTAAAATGAGAGGATTAGATTAGCTGATCTCTAAATCTCCTTTCAGTTTTAGAAATATATGATCTGTGCCTTCTGAAATTGTAGTGATTGAAATTGAGCTCTGAACCTAGAATTTCTGCAGGATGATCTTTGATTTGCATTTTATCTAATTTCAGTTTTAATTGGATGACCAGATGGATTTGAAGGAAAGTCAGTATTTGAATATTATCTGCTCAGTGCTAGTGTCTGAATAGAGATGGTGCTAGAGAGGAATACAGATTCCGAATAGAAATGACCCTGTCTGGCATTATCTTTTGTATCTATACAGGGAGTAATTATTTTTAACAGTCCTTTGTGTAGTGCCTTGCTTTCTTTTAAGATGATTAGAATAGACTGGTCAAGTGGTGCTGTCTTTTCTTCGTGAGTAAAATAGACAAAGTCATTCTAACGTTTCAGTGTAGGTGTCTTCCATTTTGAATGTCTTTTTGTCAGAGGAGGAAACCTTTATCTCTTGGTTAGCAGTGGAAACAATTCTTCTGAGTTGTTGAGTAGTCCAATTTTGCTAAGCTAACATTTCAAAGAATCCTCGAACCTCTGCTTTTAGCATACTGTCTGGTAAATTATTTTTGCCTTAAGGGAGCAGATCTTTGTAAATAGAATTTTCTGAAAACCACTATCAAAGAGACTTTCTCTTATGAGTCATTTTTGCCTTCTAAGATGGACCAGCTCCAATGTCTTAGATTTAAGGCTTTTAATATCATAGAATCTCAAAACTTGACACTTGTACTAAACTAGGATTTCTTTTATAGTTGTAAATGTGTCAAAGCTCTTCTGTGAGACAGCCCTATTCTCTAGTCCTGTCTTACCTCAGCCGTGAGAACTGGTGTCGTATTAATTCATAGTCTGTTGCTTTAAGAAATTTGATGGAGTGAAAGGTGAGTTTTAATAGGTCTGTTTGTTCTTGTTTGGCATTGTGGGTACATTTTGTTTCCTGTTTTTGTTCTTTATGCATTTCTAACAATTTCACTAATGTAGGAATGTTCTGCAATTATGTAGCATTTCACTAAATACCATTGCTAGTAAAATAAAAGCACTCTGTCCAGAAGGTTTTCTTTTTAAGCTCTGATGCCGAAATTCCAGATCAGAACCAAAACATAAAATAAGGTGGTGTCCTTTTACCTGCTGGGGTGGCCCAGCTCCTCTGAAAGATAGTGTGTTTCCCAACCCTTTCCAAGTCATGACACATAGAAGATAACAGTGTTTTCATGGCACGCTGCAGGAAGATCAGCTGCTACAGTTAGAGACTTCGGAGCCCCTAGTGCAAAGGGGTTCCTTTCTGACTGTACGCACATTGGAGCCGCGCTCTCCTGGAGGGACTAGAAAGGAAGCTCAGGTTTGCCAGTCAGGGTCTACCTCCCAGTTCCAGATCCCAAGTGTACCTGACTCTAGCAGCCATGTGGACACTTCTTGGAGTTATTCTCCACATTCTTCCCCAAGATAAAGTTATCTTTAAATGGAAAAAAAAAATTATTTCATCTGTATTTCCTTTGTTAAATCTGAGACTGGGAATTTTTCTCCATTTTCTTGCTTGAATTCTTTATTTTTCCATCCTCCTCCATACTGGAATTGAGTGCTTTATTAGCTTTTTAGACCCAGAGAAGTTCTTCCGGCTAAAGTGCTACTTCCTCACCTCTAAGAGTTGGGCCTGAGAGGACGGACGGACTTACATAAAGGCATGCAGCTAATTAACAACAGAGCTGGCATGAGAACCCATGGCTACCTAGTCAGCTTCACCTAGGTGTGCTGGGAATTCAGATTTGAACATTAATTTTTATGGATTCTTCTATAAAAGTTCATTGAAAAATATTTGCTTTATTCTGATTCTATCCTGGCTTAAATACTGCTCAGGATTTGGGCCACTGTGTTACCATATCACATTTTTAAAAGCCTTGCATGTCTCCTCTTACCTTTCCACTTTTTTCTTTTAGGTTCCCTTTTTGATTTCCGCTGGAGAAGAACTCTTTACATGGCAGCTTGTTGGACCCACGGATTTTCTTTGATTCATACTTACTGCTGGCTCTGACCTGGTGTGCTGGTGGAGAGCCAGAGCAGCGGCTTCCTAATGAGCGTTTATTTACTTGACCTGCCTTCCATTGTGTTACCTTTTTGCCTTCCAAATTAAACTTCGTGCAACTCCTTTCTGTGCTTCTGGCTCTGTTTGGTTTGTTGTTTATTTGTTTTTATTATTTATCGGTTTAAGAATCTTTTTTTTCCCCCTTCAGTCCTTTGTGCAAAGTTCTTTAGGAGTTGATAACTTGCAACTGTGAATCTTACTCCATGTTTTCATTAAGCGTTTTAGAAGTTAATGACAAAAGGCAGTGCTCACCACTTTGTCTTTTTCCTGGACCTGGTAATCATTTACTAATCATTCTGTTGTTACAGGTAGTTCCCTTCTTAGGACACAGTGCTTTCCTGGAACGGTCTCATTAAGCAGTTTGTTAGAAATTGAACTGTTTGCTTCCACATTTATAATTTATAGCTGTTTTGATACACTTTATGGCGAAAAATGAGATACAAGATATGTCCAGAAAGTATCCAGCCACGTACTATTGAAAAAATAGAGGCATTTATTGAAGAAGATACACAGTACAAGAAACACTGTGCATAGGACACTGATGCCTCAGTCCCCCTCAAAGTAGGCACCTTGTGACCTCACACAGCTCTCCGAATCACCATCAGCTGCCCTGTTGTATTTTCCTGAATCTCATTGATGGTCTCAAATCTAATCCATTTCAAAGGTGATTTTAGTTTTGGGAAAAGCCAGAAGTCACAGGATACCAAATCTGGGCTGTCGGGGGGCTGAGTCACCTGGGTGATATGATGTTTCACCAAAAAACTGTACAGATGTGACATGTGAGCGGGCGCTTTGTTGTGATGAAGCTGCCAGTCACCAGTGGCTGCTCATAGCTGTAGCCTTCTGAATCATCTGAATAGTTTCCTCAGAGGAATGCTCAAGCCTAATGCAAAATTTGATGCAGGTTCGTTGCTGTACTTGCTCAGTCATATTCAATGTGATGGCCACACAGCACACATGCTCACTCAGTTGCATCTACCGCCCCAACTTACTAGCACAGTGAAGTCATCATTGTTCATACGTCCGCATTCCAGTCCACTCTCCTTGGCTGCCAGGTTACATCGATGTGCAAACCGTTCTCGTTCTGTTAATAATGGCTGGGCTCTTTCTGGACATCCCTCCTATGTATCTATTACGCAGTGTAAGAGAGTGCGAAGAGTGGGAGTTTTGTTTATATGCTTATATATAGGATACAGTATTCTCCAAACTACTTTCACAAATAATCCTCTCATCTTATTCTTGTGATGGGTTATCTTAGGGGTTCCTATCCTCATTAGATGGAGAAACTGAAGCTCAGATTTGTAACTTGCTTAAAATCAGAGCTGAGGACACAGATTGGGTCGAACAATAGATCTGCTGGCTGAAGCCTAGGCATATTTATCTGTATCCTACTAGCAGTCCTATTTCCACCTTGGGTGCTATATAGAGGAAATAAGCAAGCTGTGTTGAGAATTCTGCTCTTTAAACTGAGCTGACTACTGAGACAATGAGTTGTGCTGCAGAGGTTTTCCAACGTGGCTGCACAGTAGAATCCCTTGGGGAGCTTAAAAATGAAATCTGCCCAGGTCACACCCCAGAGCAAGTAAATAAAAATCGTTGAGGATGGCATCTATACTTTGCACAGCTATCCAGGCGATTTTCATGTGCAGCCAAATTGGAGAAGTACTGATCTGCATTCTTGCTACTCAAAATGGAGCCCATTGACCAGCAGTACTGACATCACCTAGCAACTTACTGGAAAAGGAGACGTAGCCCTGCCCCAGATCCTACTGAAGCAGACTCTTCAACATGGTCCCCAGGTAATTCATAAGCACATTAAAGTTTGAGAAGCACTAGTCTAGAGCAGTGGTTCTCAAATTTTGGTGTATCTAACAGTTTCCTGGGAACTTGGTGAAAAGCGTGGGCTTCCGTGTTTATTAGCTCTGCATGTAACTGACACACAACTGCATTTGAGAACAGCTCTAGGTCATGAGTATAAATTTTTTCTCAAATAGACGGGCATGGTTATATTTCAGTAAAACTTTTTGTAAAACAGACTATTGGTCGCTGAGCCGTGGTCTGCCATTCTCAGGGATACTAGTTCACTACAATCATTATTGGTCAATTTAATGTGCCTTAAGACTTTTATATATGGGTATATAGCTTTTATTAGGAGGCTTTTGGATTATTTTTAGTCTAGATTCATAAACATTTTGAATAAAAGAGATACATAGGGCAGATGCTAAATTCCCATTTATTGGATTAGTTCTTATGTCGGGTGATTTACTATCAGTCAACAGGAAGCATTTGTCTTTGCTGTGTCTTTTCAACATTTGCAATAGGGCAAAAGCTTCCAGACCGCTTTTGGAGTCTTGAGTTTAAATTTAGGTAAAAGCTCATTGCAAGTGCCTTTTTTTTTTTTTTAAAGGTTTCTGTTGACTTGCTCAGTGGTTTTCAAGTCTCTATACAAAAGAACTAGCTGTGGAACTATTCCTTTGAGCTTAAACAGATGCATTACACCCCCTGCGCCCCCCCCCCCCCCCCGCCGCCTTCTGATTCTTAGGTGTTTTAGCTGAAGTGGCTAAGGGCGTGGTAGATGAGAGGCACTGAACCAGGATTGGTAATGTGTCCATTAGATGCCTCTTTCTGACTCGGCCTTTCTTAATATCCACTTGGCTGTATTGTAATGATGCAACTCCATGGGCCTTGCACATGGGTGCTCAGTACAACATGTGGAGCAAGTGGATTTTGAGTACAGTGGTATAGAGGGCAAGGTATATCTTAGCACTTCTGTTGCCTCTAGCTTAGCACATTTATGGGTGGGTTTATTTTTATTTTCTGTGCTCTTGTGGGGCCGGAAGTCATGTGTCACAAACACTGTACAGAGCCTGTTCCCTGCCATTCTCTGCAGTGGCAGCAAACCCAGCTCTGAGCACCTCCTGCCCACACATTTCCTGTCTCCATCACATGGAACCTATCTCTTGCGTGTTCTCTTAGCTGCCTATACCCTTGGCCTCTGATCACATCTTTTCATCTTTGTGCTTCAAAACACTTTTGTTATGATGGTTGGGAAATACTTGGGGAGCTCCTAGAGACCTGTTCCCTGGTTTAGGAGGCTCAGCAAGCTAGCCCTGGCCGACAATTGGAGGCTGGGGAGCGTGTGTGCAAACAGTGTGACGCTGCTGTCCTCCCAACGCAGTGGCTTGCAGCTCTGGGCATTTAAAGTCAGTGCTATATAACTTTTTAAGTACATTTCATTTAAAAAAATTTAACAAGTACAAAAAATGGATTTCTCCTGTCGGGGAAAACAACTCTTCCCTGAACAGGGATTTTAGATGCGGGAATGAGAATAAAGGAGGAGGTAGCTTGTGAAGAACTGAATAAAATAATATTTTATTTGCTTACACTGAATTAATAGGCGTGTCCAAGCTCATGCAGAACATTTGTCAATAAGATGATAAAAAGGTGTATTTTTAAGCCACCAGGGAGGCAGCCTGGTGTTGCAGAAAGTACTTGCTTGATCTGAAGATGTTGATTTCAGGACCTGTTGTGCCACTTATTTTGTCTGTTGACCTTTTGTCTATAAAATTTTGCAAATAATTAGGCACCTAGGCACTATGCTCTATAGTGCATGTGAAGATAATAAGACAGCCATTGCCCTCCAGGGTGAGTGTGCTAACACTGACCGTCTGACATGGCATTAAGCATCCTCCTGTTACTTAGGCTTCCTATAATTCCATGAGGTAGGATGGTGGTATTCTTTTTCAGATGAAGTAGAAACTCAGTTTGCAAGTGTTAGGGTTTCGATCTTATTTCCTTCTGATTCCAAAGCATTTGGATTAGGCGTTGAATGAAATAAAATAGTAAGCATGGGGATAATAATACTTCACACAGTTGTCCCAAGAAAATGTAAGTGAAAGTACCTTGTTAATGTAACTGCTCTAATGGATCAGTACCCTCATAGCAGTCATCAGAATCGTTTAGAACAGTTCCAGGCATATTACTTTCCTCCCTCAGCAGCACATCCAGTTTTACTGGCTTTCAGCTGAAGGACTCTGGTGGCCAATGCTGGCCTTCCTCTTTCCTGGGGGTGGGGGGAGAGACCTCCCTAGGAGCACCCATTTGGGTCTGCTGTTCAGGTCTGCTCTGCCATTTGAAATCTCTGGGTTGAACAAGTTTGTTTTTAACTTTTTATTAATGAAATGTACACACACACACACACACACACACACGATGAGTAAAATAAATGTACACACACGCGCGCGCGCGCGCACGCGCGCACACACACACACACACACACACACACACACACGATGAGTAAAATAAACGTCCAGATACTCAACACTCAGCTTTAACAGTTACCAATGTTTTACCCCAATCTAGTTGCAGCATTTTAGTAAATGGAATCTCTAGTGAAAGAGCTCATTCTATTACACCATTTAGCTGAAAAATACTTGAGTGTCTGTTTTGTACCAGAGATACTAGAGATATACAGGTGATCAGAACAGATATAGTGCCTCCCTTTTCTAAGCCTTAAATTCTAGTTGGGATGAGAGCCAAATTAGCATAGATAGAATCCTGTTGTTGTAAATTGAGTGAAGGAAATAAACAGTATGATGTGATCTTAAATGGGGATGGGAGGGAGCCGCTTAGACACAGTAGTCAGGAAAGACGCCTCTGAGAAGCAACATTTAGGTTGAGATCTGACAGCTGAGCAAGAGCCATGGGACCAGCCAGTGGGAGTGTGTCTAATATTACTTAACTACCTCTCATTGCCAGATGATTGAGTAGTAGAATTTGCATGGGCAAAAAGTATTGCCCCATGAGACTGGTAACATCACTAACCTTTATTGAGGGAGTGACTCCTAGATGTTCAGGGCTCTGTTTTGTCATTCTGATCTGACCCTAAAGGGGGGTCAAGTAGGTATAGTCACAGAAGAGGAAAGGGAGAATACATGACACAGGTCTTGGGGGGGTCTCCTGAGATCCTGGTCTGCCCATAGTCCCTCCTCTCTGATGGCTGCTGGAACCATCTGGGACTTGGGTGTCCACAGTTCTTGGTGGAAAGCCAGGGGCTCTG